ACAATAGAGTGCGCATCTCTGGACAAAGTCCACCAATTCCTTGTTGCCCTGTCGGGCGGCAAACACGGAAACGCGATCGCACGCGGTATGCTTGATTAGGCGGCGAGAACACTCGAGAGAGCTGCAGTTTTAGCCCCACTCAGGAGGGAAACGCAGTTCCGATCGAAGTGCCGCACGATAGTGCCCAATCTCGCGCTCGACCACCGAACTTGGAGATGGCTAGCGCCACGCGCTGTTGATCGGTTTAGAGCATGGCGGGTGCGATGGCCATCTCGACTTCTCTCACTTAGAGCAGGAGATTCTATTTATCCTTCCCCTCAAAGACCTTATCGCTCACCATGAGCGGCTTAAATCGGGGGAAGTCTTCCGTCACCGACTGTGGCGTCATAGACGCAAACGATGCAAATATCGTCTGCTGCAGGTGCTCTAGCAGCGCGTTCCGTTACTCGAAAACGCCTCTTGACGCGCACCCCATTGCCTCGGGGCCTTGTGCTACAAGGTGTTGAACGCCCTCAGGGCCAAGCAAAGACATCAGCTTGTTAAGCCCGTTCTGCATGTCATGGGGCAAAGAGAAAAATTCCTCTATCCTAACAGAGGATCAGTCTAAACGACTCAGGTGTATATTGACTTCAAGTGCTACCAACTGCAGCGGGGCTGCCGTAGCTAAGCGCTTGAGGAAGCGTCCTTTAGGTCACCGACCTTTCGTGATTTACAAGAACCAATATGAATTAGCGGATCGCAATCCGCTTACTAATTTAATTTAGAGTTTCCTAAATATACTAAATATATATAGTAAAATCTAAATACATGCATGACTAGTGGCTACCCGTATTCCTGTTTGGGTGTGTGGTCACACCATGCACATCTCGTGTGACACACACACACCCCTGTTATTAGGGTTCGTGTAACCCCGTTACAGGGACATTACCATTTGTAAAGTAGAGATCCATGGGCACGTGGTCTGCTAGGCTCAAGCTTCGCATATTTTGGTATTGTACACCGTAAGTACATTTATTGTGTCGGTTTAAACTAGACTTGATTCTGCGGTTCCGTTTCTGCGTGGACCGTACAAACCTATTATATTTCCGTTTCTGCCGCGAATCCATCGAGTCAAAGCTTATTTTGTACAGCAGAATTTTTGTACTTCTTCTCAGCTTGGATGAGGCTCATTGCCTCTGACACGCTCATAGATCATCAATATACCCCTGTCCAACGGCCATCGTGACCCGGAAGTTGTGCTCGGTATTCTATGCGATGCTCATCGCTTCCTCCAATACGAAAGGGTGGGCGCAGAGGTTTGCGGCGCGATTTCCACCTATACATAAACCGCCCAAGTAAATGAAGGCAGTTATTGCTCCCCGGAAGAGAGTTTGCTGGCAAACAGTCCGTAACTCATGGATTAGCCCGTCAATTATCGCCTTCCTGGCTAGTTCACTTAAAATTCAACCACGCAGGTCAGGAGACGCGAACACCTGCAATATCGGCTGGCTAAAACCCAATAGCACAGGTCACGAGACGCGAATGCCTGCAACATCGGCTGACCAAACACTCTAAAAATGATTTTTGGCAGAGACACTGCACATAAGATCCAGCCTCGCACGTGGCCTTCCAGCTCAAAGACCGAAAGCGCAATGCGCAGTTGCTTTGGAGCATGGCTAAATTGTGCATACATCGACTGATCTCTGCTAGGAATAGCGACTTTCCCTGTCCCTATCCTAGAGGAAGTGGATGCTTCGTATAAGCTGCTTTACGACGATTCCTCACGGTGTCTCACCTCTATATTCTCACTGGTGAACACTATCCAACGAGAAATTGCCTCAGCCCAAGCATGAGAGCCTACCACATCGGGAAATTTATCCGTCAGTTCTGCTTGATGAAAACAATGTAGACTGGGTCGGCATGTTCCCAGAGAGGATAACCGGAACTTTGTAAGTGAAAGGGTTGGCTTTATCCGATAAAGTAACATTATCCTTTACAGCATGACTATCCTGGCGTTGTCACAGAGGTTGATTTTATCCACTCCAATTAGGGTGTCGTTACGTCTGCCTTGAACTTATATATGTGTGTATAGTTTTCATATTTAAGAACTCGTTTCCATCCTACAAGTGCTACCATTGCAATGGGCTCACCAGGCACCTTGCACAGTAAAAGCTTCGACTGCATGATCAGCCTTAATTAACGCGTAAAGGATGGGTTTGTACTTTCCACCGAGGAGTCAACCCGAGAGTTTCTAAAGTAGCCGTGTAATGAGTAATATGAGTGAGATAGTCTTTATGTTTTTTTGAATCTATTTATAAAAATATGCACTGCGTGACGTGATACGTGTCCCACGGACCTCTCACTTACAATTTCCCATTGTCCTAGGAAATTGGTCGTACAAAGTCTCGCACAAGTGTAATGTGTACGCACACAATCGTACATTTTACAACACAACAACTTCCAGTTGATTTATTCACTGAGGGGATCACAAATCATTGTGGTAGATTTCAGTGCATACTCGGCTCCCGTTAGATAAGTAAATGAACTGTTCTTTCTTTGATTGGCTAAAAAATGTTCCGTCCATAGCACTACCAATTGTCGACGAAAAAATGTTTTTACGATGAGTGCAATTTAAACATGTCCGTTGTCATCATGATTATATAATGCTCTTCTTTCTGAGAAAGTATGTTGTACGACTCGTGGCCAAGTGATTGACAAAAGCAAGACTAGTCTACAATTGCCACCAATAAGGAAGCAAGTTGTCCACGCTGTACCGCCAATCGCTGCGATATCAATATATATCATCGTTTCCGACGTGTACGATATCTTGTACTACATCTGAACGATTTCTTGTTTTGTGCACAATAACTACAAAAAACGACAAGTCATTTAAATTCCACTGTTGCGGCCTATTGCTATGCCCCGTGGAATATCCCAAGTGCACTGCGACTCATTTTACTTCTTACTTAAGGAAAAAGACATTGTTTTAGCTATGATAAACTATCTGCACAATGGCTTTTTGAATGCCAAATAGATAATTACAGCAGACTCTGTCGAGCCAGTTACAAAGTGCCTATCCTTAGTACCACTCTCCTAGCCCTGAGATGCAAAGCTGGACAGTTATGGGAACAGGCGAGATCAGCATAGGTTACATTTGCTACTATACAACGATACAGATGTAACATTACTGTATGGCTCTACCGCCACGTACCTCACGTTCGCACTAAGTATTGCGGTATTGCTGATGAACTTTGCTTGAAAGCTTATCGGCAGTCTTAAAAGACCGTTCTTTTGAACACAAAACGTCAAGTGCGATGATGCAAGCTATTCATGTGGATGTTGTGAAAGAGGAAGGTTCGCCCCAAGAGACGACCCTTATGAAAGCTAAAGCATCGCAGCCTGTGACAAACAGTCTTTTAGATAAGCCGAGGGGAAAGCCTCAGTCTTCGATGTCAAAGATTTTATTCTTGGATGGATTACGTGGAGCGGCAGTGATCACCGTCGTAACTCAGCATTCTGGTTACATGCACGACCTTTGTTTGGGAGCCGTTGGTGTCGACACTTTTTTTGTATTGTCTTCGTTCCTATTGACAATGATCTTTATGAAGAAAAGCATTAGTTTGATTGCTGAATCGGCAAGTTATCGAAAGTGGAGTATTACATTACTCGACTACTTCTCGAAACGGTTTTTTCGTGTCTATCCGCTTTTTGCTCTGCTATCTATTGTGTTGTGGTTGTTACCGTACGAGTACAAGCACCAATACTATCTGGTGAAAAAGCCTGAGGATTTTAATCTGTTTCAGACTCTTACGTTTCATCCCGAGCATCGACACTATCTACTGTGGACACTGCCTCTTGAAATCTCATACTATTTTCTCTTGCCTATATTTGTTCTCTGTGTGCTCAAAATTGGACGTTGCTGGTGGCTGGCATTTGTGCCATTGTATGTCTGGATCATTCATGAAGGTGTCTACACGACCCGATCAAACTTTTATCGACAGCCTCTATCTGCGCATCTCCCCACGTTTGTGGCGGGATCCATGGCTGCTGTTATTTCCGTGAAGCTTGATATGTGGATCAAAGCTCGTGGTCTGGAATTTCAAACTATTCACGTTATTGGTCTTCGAATCGTAGAGGCAATTTTAATTGCGGGATTTCTTAGCGTATCTTTCCGTGGATTGTTCTTTAACTGGCTGGGCCAGCCGCTGTCTGACTCCAAGAAATACTTCATGCCATTTATAAGCGTCAAGCTGTCCCTGATTATTGTGATTGAATTGCTGCGGCCGTCTACTGTATCTGACATTTTCGAGTGGGTCGTGCTTCGCTATATGGGCAAAATTAGCTTTTCCGTCTATCTTCTGCACGTATTTGTGATTTTTACAAAACCCGTGAAAAATCAAGGATATTACTACGACCGAATCTTCTTGATCTTTGCATTGGTAATTATGCTAGCGACTGTATCATTCTATTTAGTCGAGTATCCATCTCAGTTGCTGGCACAGAAGATTTCGCGCAAATTGGCAAGTCTCACTCCTATGGAACATCATAAACTTTCTGATGAGAGTGATGAGAATTTGGAAGAAGGAGAAGTCAACAATGCTCATTCGCAGAAAAAATGCGCGTCGCCGTCGAGTCGCAAGCTGGAAGTATAATTCCATGTTAACCTACTATAGTAATACTTCAACCACCGCATCTACTATTACTATGTCTCATACGAACTTGTTATACTACTACTTTGTTAGATTTGTAGTACTTCGTTTAAAAAAAATGGCTAGATCCAGGATGACCGTGCTGCAGCTCTCGGGTGCGTTTTTGGCACCTCCACTGACTATTGTCCCGTCTAGATTAAATCCATGCTTCTGTAGTGGTGCTGCTGGCTGTAGCACTTGTTCCTTTAATATGGTATACGACGCTCATGCCGCACTGGCTGTCGCAGTCAGGCGAGCGCAACGCAACCGTTTACTATTCCCAAGGTATGGGTCTTTGGCTCAACTTTACGGAGCATGTGGGCGATCCGAGATTTGATCCTGGAAACTCGCTTTGGGTTCCGCCGCAAGAAAGCGGCGTTGATACATACAGTGCGCAATGGTACGTTATGCCTCTTTATTGGCACCTATTCTTATTGATGCATATATCGCAGCACTAAACAGCAGCCATTTTGCAAAAATGCCGTCGGAGAGTTACACAAGCAGTATTGCTCAGTAATGGAAGTATATTGTGGGACAGCTGTGACGATTTTGCAGCTGATGTTGTCAGTAGTGGCTGGTTGCGCCGTCGTTGTAGTGATCTGGGCCTTTCATCTCATTACTACCAAGCACTGCACCATTGCAGACCAGTACCTGATGCACTTGTGTGTCTTTAATGGTATTGCACTTTTAACATCAGCTGTAATTTGGTACATTTGTATGTATCAACCTATCATCAACTCGACTTTCTACAAGGATCAATTAAGTCGCTGTTCAGAGAATAATTCGGGTCGTACTTGCTGGCAAATGGGACATTGCGTATATTTATCGATCGCAGGCGGCGTTTTGTACCCGATCTTGGCTGTGCTAGTAATATCTCATGCGACAAACAAGTTTCGACGTTATCAAGAATTGCTGCGTCGATTTTATGAGACGGAAGCGGTTGTAAATAATCCTGTGCGGGTAGTAGAGATGAAGTCCGAAATTTTATCAAGTATCAAAAATGAGACGTTTGCATCAGTAGACGCGACTACAGATGTCGAGATTTACCTCGACTCGACCAAGCTCACTTCGCTTCAAAAGCACCCGTCAGCTATTTTGTCGAGAGAAGTTTCAGTTGAAGACAGTAAAGACAAAACGAAATAGAGTGAGCCAAAAAGAGTCATTTGTAAGATACAAAGCTGCTGCTTCTGCCACAACAATTATTTATTATGCTGTTAGTCATTTCTTTCGTGTATCGTGCACGTGGTATGTCCTGCTTATCGTCTTAGTCTCTTGATGAGCATACAAAAGTCGCAACTTATTGAAGCGTTTTTAGCAGCTAAGTCACGAATATATAGACTTTCATGTCGAGGATATCATTTGAGGCCTGAAATTTCATTATTGCAAAGACTTTGACCAAACAACGTAAGACTGTCGCCAATAAAGATCACAGCCTTACCTGCCTTCACAATTTGCACTACCATATACTTTACCACTGCTTTGAATCGTTTTGTCACCATGTACGAAAAAGGATCGTTTTTTTCGCGAAGTTAGGAAAACCAAGCTACATATTTTCTGACAACGCAAGATGAAGTGAAAATGCTTTCATTGATAAGCTCAAAAACCGTCTTACGCTGTAAATACTTCTTCAGTCTCATCAAAGCGTCTCGTCGTGTCAAAACGATCTGTTACAATACGAGGCTAGGCCAATGTATCGACTAGGCGTCCGACACGCAGAAGTGGCTGTGATTAGTGACGAGCTCATAAAGAAGGTGGTTTGTGCAGAATTAGACCCCGTCAACAACAATGCAATTGATGAGGTTAATCAAAGTGTTGACTTCGGTAAGCTTCAGACCCTGTCGCTGTCGTTTCAAAGCATCTTCAGAATGGAAAATCTCGAGACACTGCGTTATCTCGTAAGGCTGCAGCTTGACAACAATGTGCTGGAAGAGATTGATGGTATTGGTCACCTCACCCATCTCAAATGGCTTGATCTTTCGTTTAATAACATCTCAGCGATCAAAGGTTTGGAGAATCTTGTCGAGCTTACAGATTTGAGTCTATACAACAACAATATCTCAAAGCTTGAAAATCTTGACACACTCAAGAAATTACAGGTGTATGATGTAACATTAATTCACGATCATCACCAGATCCAAATATTACTTTTATTCTACCGCAGGTTTTATCGATAGGGAACAACTTGCTACAATCCACGGAGGGGCTACTACATCTAAAATGTCTTGAGAAGCTGCGCGTACTTAACTTGAGCGGCAACCCTGTGTGCACGGACCCAGAATATCGATTGTAGGATTTTTTTGACGTATTCTCAATCATATCAAAACTTACGTTCAGCTGCGTAGATTCATACTTGCACATTTGGAAAAGCTCAAGTATCTCGATTACGCTTTAGTAAACAAATGTGATACTATTCAAGCACGCGAGCAGTATCAAGATGAACTGGAGGAAGCAAGGGAAATACGTGCCATTGAGGACGCTGCACTAACACGCGAAGCTGAGCAACAAAAGTATATGTGCATGCTAAAAGACGCAAACGTGTTAATTCTCGAAGTAGGCAACATTCTGTCAAGAAAAATCTGCTTGCATTCTCACCTGTGTTTGTTAGACTTTGTTAGGTGATATGTTTAAAGAAGACACAGAGATAAGTAAGATCGAAGCATTGCCAGGTCTGCGCAACCTCATTGATGACTACACTGAAAAGGCCAAGGTTGCAACTGAGGAAGTAAAACTCCTTCTTCTTGATAAACATGCAAACGTGACCAAGGAGGTTGACACTTTCAAGGCAACGTATGAGAAACTTCAGTCCGATACTCAAAAAGCCAGTATTCGTGCAATAAATTCCCACCGTCAAAAAGCCAAAGAGCTTTTAAAGCAAGCTACTGCAACTCAAGCATCGGAAGCTGACAGATTGAGCTCGAAAGTGGGTCAGCAGCTTTTTCAAGAAGCCACTTTTTCCAGCGAAAAGCTGCATGACCAGCTCATGAATTTTGAGTCTGATGTCGTTGAGACGGCACAAGAACTAATTACTGCATTGGAAAGCTCTATCGATGTGATAAGCTCCGAAGCACGGGAAATCACCACTAAACACTTTCGTACGATTGAAAATATGGAAAACATTTTTTTTGAAAATGTCAGCCAGCTTGCAGTCACTTTGCTCGAAAGAATGGCATCGGATGACGGCGAAGATGATGAATATTTGACTGATGAATGCCGCGCAATTTTAAACGATCGAGATGCTTTAAATAATGCCATAAATGGATCTCATGACATTCACATAGGAAAATTGCTAGCTCAGGAAGACGCTATCCGGGAACAAAGTCATGTTCAAGTTGCCGATATTATTAAAAATGCCGAGGTTCACGAATGGTCTCGTAATCGTGCTCGCATCGCTGAAGTACTGCATCTGAAAGATCAGCATTTGTCTGAGATCAATCATGTTCGTGATGAAATTAACCGAGAGGACGAAGAATTCTATTAAAAAAATCAATACAGCAAATTGTTAACCTTTGTTGCACGATAAAACACATCACAAGAAGACATAAATGTACTATTCAGATTCCTATTCCATGTGAGCCTATTTAGTATTAAGATGAATGTGTAAATACTACTTTTTGTACATTTATTGGTCTTTGTAATTTAAATATAAATACTATCACAAAACATCGTTTTGATCACTACAATGGCGACAACGGAATTCACAGAGTCAAAGCCGCGGCAATTATTCCACGTCTCCCTTCACAGCTCATGTCCAGCAGAAATCAATTTCAAGCAACTTGTTCTCGAGAGTGCACGTCAATTGGAATCTTCTGAACTCACTACTCCATCAATAAATGCAGCTAATAGTGTCCCACAATTAGCCTGGAATTCAGCGCCAGCATTACGTCCACAACGTTTTAATATTATTGAGCACTTGGAAAAGCGCTACGGGGGTGGCGCTGTATTAAATGATGGAGATGGAAATGATGTGGGTGGTTTGGACCGACGTGACGATGATGATTTATACGACTCGGAAGATTCTTTTATTGACGATGAGGAATTGCAGCAAAATATTGAGGATGCAAAAGAACAGACTCGAATTAAAACAAAGCACTCGGGCTTTTTTGTAAATGCTGGAGACGAAATTGAGACATTTGAGAGGGAAGCGGATGAATTTGTTGACGGACGAGGCAAGAAACGCGCGGTGGATGGTGCATTAAGATCGTTTCTGACTGAGCTTCCGGATGGAGCTAGTGACTGGCAACCAAATGTAGAGATTGTGAATAAACTCGAGGTGCTGAGGACAGCAGTTCAGGAGTGTAAGTGAAGAAAGGTTTCTGATTAAAAGCATGAGATAATAAGTTGTCGAGGAATTTAAATGATTGCAGTGGCAGGCGTAGCTTCGATTCCAAAGGTTTTTCCAAGGTCGCTCGATGAACCTCTACGTGCTGTAGATAAATTGGTTGTGGAAGCTCACCCGAACAAATGGCGTGTAACGGGATATTTCGCGACATTGATGACATTCTTGCCGTATACGAAGCAGTATTTGAAAGTTGGGATAAACTTTCTATTGTATAGTACGTGAAAAAGAAGACTGAGTCGTGTTGCTGGGTTTGTGTGCAGTCGAATATGTTGCGTTTGGAAGCGCGCGATGTCGCACGAAACGAAAAGGAGAAGTTGGATGCCGCGTTTGATACGTTAGCCCAGTTTGTTAGTACATATGAAAAGCGAGCGACTATTGAGCCTATTGATGTGATCAAAACAGGTGCGATTGGGTAAATTTTGATGTATTCTGGTGAAAAGTTGAGACGTCTTGCTCTTTTTGTGCTTGCAGACATTGCAAAAGATACAGAGCTTGGGACAATGCTACATGCAATAATTGAGCTTCAAGAAGAGTGGGTAGCAAGAGAAAATGAATACAGGTAAGGGTGTTGACTAGAAAAATGATTTTTTTTACTGGGCTCATGCTCTGAAGACAAATGCTGAAGACGGAAGACAAAAAACACATGAAAGAATCTGAATACAAGGCACTTAATCAGCGCCAGGAACGGAATCGAATGTTCCACCGGGTATGACTCCATTTTGCTCTCGTGATACGTCTTTTAGCAGAAAATGTTAATCAAATTATATGTATGCGGCTAGGTCCTTGCTTTATTTACACCAGGCGCAACCGACTTGCAGACACTACGGGCTTTAAACAAAGTAGCTAAGAGTAAAGCATCTAAAAAGCCTCCACAGCCAAAAGTTTTAGTCAAAGGCGCCACTGCAGCAGCAAAGAAGAAAGTTAATGAACCAGGCACTGTGGGAAGTGTCCCTGCTAAACGGTCAATCAAACCTTTCAAATCGCGGATGATGGATGAGGCGCCACGTTTTGTCGAAGACGACTTTGAAGAAGTAGAACAGTAAGGTAGAGAAAATATTTGACACAATCAAAGGATAATTTTAACGTCATTTAGTTGCAAGTTCGCATGACGAGAAACCTTTTGACATTTTAAGAAGCGTGGCACGTCTCAAACGAACTGAATTGTAACATATGACCTGAATTTTGAATCAATAAAAGAGTTTGCTACTTATCATAGACGCATTACGTTGGATATGTCGGGTGCTGGCAGGGAAGATGCGACTTCTTTTTAAGCAAGCACCAGAACTTGGTAAGGATGACGTTCGAAAAGATGAGAATGCACACGCACAAATCCTACGTTTATACCCATTTCGAAAACATAATATCCAGCTTATCCTTCTTGAAAGCGTAAGATCAAGCGATTGCCGACATAGCTGCATTAACAAATATCTTCAGCTTGGACGCACTAATTGCCTTTCTACATGAGAGCAAAAGGTATTCTAAGTGCTGTGCATTCGTATGGTCGCTTCACTAAAAAGTTTATTGTTTAATCTGCATGCTAAGTATCTTTCATTGAGTACATGATGTATGAGGAGCAGGATCAAGCTGATTTCGATTATATAAAGGTCATAACCTTGTTTTGCTCAACGGTTCCGGGTAGAATCATATGATCGTTTAAGCAGTGGTGCATCATCTTTCGGGTGCTGTTAGATTTTCGAGTCAAACTGATGCGTAAAAGGAACCGCTACTGCATGCTTAAACGCTGTTTTAAGCACACGGCGCAAACAGAGTTGTCTGTTCATGGACTGATTCGAAAGGCCGCATTGCCACTGTTGCTTACAATGATTGCATCGCGTCATTTCGCCGAGGTAATGCCGCGAGTTCGAGAGACGTTGCAGCGGGGCTACCGTAGCTTAGCGCTTGTGATTTAGGTCACCGACCTATCGCTCTATACGTAGAACAAGTACGAATTAGCGGATCGCAATCCGCTTACTCCAAGTAATTATTGCCTTCCCAAGGTTAATTAACTCTTCGGTTTAAAATCCAAAGCTGATTTTTATTTATTTCTTTATCCTAACTTAAAGTTTAGATTTTCCTAAATATATATTGTAAAATCTAAATACCGTAGTTAACAAAAAGATTGCTTCTCAAAAAGATCACAATTTGGATAGATCCTATCATTTTTTAATGTTATTGTGATTTTTAGTTAACAAAAAGATTGCTTCTCAAAATGATCACAACTTGGATAAATCCCATCACTTTTTAATGTTATTGTGATTTTTCGTTCATTTCGAATTTCCGTACCATTGTTGCTACCTATCATCATCTGAGATGAAGCGGTTCTTACTGACAAATCCCGAAAACAAGAAATGGGTGGAAGCTCA